GCAATGGGTCGCGCTCACACTCAAAATGGATGTGGAAGAGAGACACCCAGAATCAGGTTTTAAAAGTGAGAGAAGTGAAGCATTCCCAAGAAATGCCTGGATCAATCATCACAGTTTGGGTCACATATTATAATAGTACTAACATTAGCTCCAAAGGTGTTTTTTGTTTTTTTTTAAAGTGTGTGTGTATGTCTGGGGGAAGGGCACGCCTGAAAGTGCTGGGGCTACTCCCAGCTCACTGTGCAGGGATACTCAGGCCAGGTTGGAAACAGGGCCCTCGGCATACAAAGCACATGCTCCAGCCCTTGGAACATAGAGCCCCAGCCCAGGCCATTTAAAAAAAAAAAAGACATGCAAAATAGCAAGCTGATCAAAATAGATCAGCATTCATAGATCAAGGAAGTGGCACATTTTAGGAGAAAACCCATCACGGGCCTCCATTACTAGATTCTCTACTTGGATGTGTGTGCTGGGTAGGGGAGGGGGAATGTGTTGGGTCACACCCAGTGATGCTCAGGGACCATTCCTGGCTCTGTGCTCAGGAGCGACCCCTGATGGTGCTCACGGCCCATATGTGGTGCTGAGATTGGAACCAGAGTTGCAGCCACTGCAGCCCCATGCAAGGCAATCTGCCTTCCCTCCTGTACCATCTTTCTGGCCTCATATACGCTGATTTTCTTTCGCAGAAAACTAGAGAGTTTTAACCACTGTGAAGTACGGTTAATATAACTGTAGGTGTGGGGAAGTATTTCACGGACAATCCCCTGACCCCCGTCTTTCTTCTTACTTGGCACTGGTGCCGATCAAAAAGCCCTTCTCTTTTCAAATGAAAGATGGAAAGGAAAATGGGCCCCTCGTCTCTGCAGAGACTTGACACACTCACCTGGAGGGGAATAAGGCACCTGGACCCAGATTGATCATGGAGTGGTGCTGGCACTGGATCTTGCATGGCTATTAAGGAGTGAGACTTCCAGACAGAAGTGCTGCTTTCTCGGGCGAGTTGCATTGCGGATGACCTCGCCCACAGGCAGACCAGAGGGGCTGAAGAATTCAGAAGAGGTCAGAGGAAAGTCTGCTTTCCAGGAGAAACCGTACTTGTGTCTCTGGCCAATCTCATCATTCTTTCCAGGGATGTTTTCCCAGCCGAGTGAGGAATGTGGATGAGCACTAGATGAGAAGCTAGTCCCAGCACTCATGTGGGCGGTGGAACCTGGGGGAGGTCATGTTACCACCTTCCTTAGTCTCAGTCTCCTCGTCTGAAAAATGGGGATAAAGACTACCTACCTTGGGGCCAGACAGGTGACATGAGTACAAGTTTCGTATGCAGGAGCCCCGAATTTGATACCCAATACCACAAGGTCCCTAGGCGCAAAACCACCTACTTTGTCTCCCTCATGTTATGTCATGGCTCTGAGATCTTGCAAAACTGCCTTATAAACACTTGGAACACTGGATGTAAAGGCAAGGAAATCATATGTATTGACCATATTTTAATTAGGTCATTATTATTTTTCTATTTGACCAGAATTGCCTGATGCAGGATGTGCTTTGCAATATGGAACTCAAAACTATGTGCTATAAATATGTGCTATAAACTGGGTTGTTAAAAAACAAAATTAAAAAGGTGTGTGTGTGTGGAGAATTCTTAATTTCCTCAGGAAGGAACTCAGAGTATATTACTTAAAACTGAGCTATTTTTCACATCGACTGACTGATGGAATTAATTTTCTCCAAACATGTTCTCTACTTTGAGTCAGATCTGCTGATTCCTTGGTACAGGAAAGTCTTGAAGTCAAGAAACAGCATACTGAAACTTGGGGGTGAAAAATAATCCATAGAGTTATAGTTTCCTATAAAGTAAATAAACTGAAAATGAGGCATCTTCTGTAACGCCAGCCCCCAGCCATACTTCGTCACGTGGCTCCCTTCTTCCTGAGACATCTCCAGGACAGAAGCCAGTCCTGTGAAGGGTTTTTGGGAAGTGTAGCCATGGTGGAGATGAGAGGACATGAAGGCTGGCAACAAGGCCACTCTCATTTCAGCACTAGGATTTGAACAAGGTCTGCTCGGACCTGCCAAAAAGCTTTGGTGGAGAAACCCATATGGCCCTGGAGAGGCGAGAGGCGTGCTTAGATGCCAGGCCAGAGTGTGGGGAAGAGCTTAACGGCATCCAGGAGAGGGATTTTCCATTCTTTCTGTAAGTTGGTCCTGCTCTTCTCTGGTCTCGTAAATGATGGAACACCAGGAAAACAATGAGATGTGGAGCAACCACTGGACTTCGGGGCTTCAATTGACCAGGACTGCAGGGCTTTCTTTGCCTAGTTTGCATGCAGAATACACAGGCAAAAAAGTGGCTGTGAGTGACTTGACCGGCCCAAAGCACACAGATTCCAGTCTTCGTGTCAGAGGTCTTTATTACAAACGTTACAAAGTGATGACTTGAGGGAGTCACGTAAGTAGAACCAGGTCACTGGACGGTTGTCGGCCGGGATCACGGGCCTGCTGCTAACCTCCGGTTTTCTTCCTGGTTGGCTTTGCTTTCCTGAGTTTGAGGATGGTGTAATTTGCATACACAGTATACTGATCTGACAGGAAGGGAACATAGAATGCCCGTAGCAGCTTCGAAGATCTGAAAAATAAGGGGGATACAAAAAGAAAAGAGATGAGTTTTATTATCTGATAGAATTTACCTTGGTACTGAGAGTGGCTGAAGGAAATAAACTAAATGGGATCTTGAAGATTCTCTCTTATAAATACATCACAGAGAAGTCTGTAATGTACCTGCTAGATTGTGATAAAACACTTTAGACCAAGTACCTTGCTGCCTCACCAAAAAAGATCGTTTTCCTAAGCTCTAGGTCTTCACTCTGCATTAGACAGTACCAGATAAAAAGTTCCAGGTCAAGGGGCTGGAGCGATAGCACAGCGAGTAGGGCATTTGCCTTGCACGCAGCCAACCCGGGTTCGATTCCCAGCATCCCATATGTTCCCCTGAGCAACGTCAGGGGTAATTCCTGAGTGCAGAGCCAGGAGTGATCCCTGTGCATTGCCGGGTGTGACCCAAAAAGAAAAAAAAAAGTTCCAGGCCAAACATGGGACTTCTATTACTGATATAAAGTTATTATTGGTGGTGGTGGCAGTACCAAGAGTCTCACACATGTGCTGTTGTGCTCTACCACCAAGTCACAGCCCTGGTCCTGAAATAATTCTTAACACCTAAATGATTTCTTTTTTGTTGTGGGGCCACACCTGGCTGTTCCCAGGGCTTATTCCTGGCTCTGTGCTCAGGCCTCACTCGTGGTGGGGCCTGCAGGACCATTTGGGGTGCTGGGAAATCACGCAGGACAAGTGCCTTACCCACTGTACTGTCTCTCCAGTCCCAACCTCTAAATGAATTCTGCATCTGAGAAAATGACAGAGATGTCAAATGCTCAAAGGACCGTGACATTAGCTCTGGGTCGTCCTAGAAAGGTGAAGGAAACCTCTGATGTTTCCATTCAAGGCATTCCAGCTAGGCCCATCCACATCCAAGTGGGTCCACACACAAGCCAGTGCTGAGTCATTTCTTTGGGGGGCAGGGGGGAGGCAGGGGAGGGTGGTTATGAAGTATCTGCTTATTGCTAGATTCTAAATTTCTCATCTTCTTTAAAGAATGTGGAAAGTGCCACAGACTTACTGAACAGTTACTATTGGATAGGCACCAAGAACGTGCTTGTACTTATAAATACATTATTCATTCTATCCAATAACCCTATGAGAAAAATGACATTGTTATCCTTGTATTCGAGGTGAGAAACTGGAGGCTGAGTAGATTAACTTGCTTGGGGGGGGGGGGGAGGCGGGGAGTGGTGTCACAAAGTAAGTGACTGATTTCAGAATCAAATCCAGTCAAATCCAGATTTAATTCCAGAGTCTGAATTCCACCCTCCCTCATCAGGGGGCAGATGGGTTCTGAGGACATGTTCAGCAGTGATAGAGGCTACTCCAGGTTTAGTGTTGAGGGACCGTACTGTGCTGGGACGGAGACTACAGCTCTCACATGTGACACAGACACTCCAGACTTTTGGCCATCTCCTGAACTCCAGAGTCTGAATTTTGTTTTGGGGGGGTCACACCCAGTGATGCACAGGGGTTACTCCTGGCTCTGCACTCAGGAATTACTCCTGGTGGTACTCAGGGGACCCTATGGGATGCTGGGAATTAAACCTGGGTCAGCCGCATGCAAGGCAAACACCCCACCCTCTGTGCTATGGCTCCCGCCCCACAGAGCCTGAATTCTTAACCACTGTGGTTATTCCCGAGTTTTAGCCACCCCTCCCAAGAACAAGTAGTCACAACAGCTTCCAACGGGATGTGATGTAGTAATGCCTGACTGTGATTTCTGAGGCTGCCCATGCAAAGCTGGCCTGGTGACTGCCAAGCTACATGAAGTACCTGCAGGCTCTCCGCAGCCAGCCCTTTTCTGTAAATGTCACACAGACGTGGCATTTGAGTTGGCAGCCTCCTGCCCTCTGAGACGGGCAGCGTCCTGCCATGTGCTGGGCCTACACAGCTCTGAAAGGCTCCACTCTCAGTGATCAACAGAGATCTGCTTCTCTTCAACTGCTGACAGCTCAAGGGCTTGGAGAGAGAAAGGAGACCTCGAAGACACACATGAGAAACAGCAGGGTTCCTGCAAGTCCAACCAATGGAGGCGTGCAAAGCTGGAAGCAAGGTGGGAATCCAACATAAAGAGAGAAGAATGCGTGTATCGGGGCTGGAGTGATGATAGCACAGTGGGTAGGGTTTTTGCCTTGCACACGGCCGACCCAGGTTCGATTCCCAGCATCCCATATGGTCCCTGAGCACCATCAGGAGTGATTCCTGAGTGCAGAGCCAGGAGTGGCCCCTGAGTGTCACTGGGTGTGACCCAATAAATAGGAAAAAAAAAAGCATGTATCATTAAAAGTGGGCACTGGAGAAAATCTTCTGTTAGAAGACGAGTTTCCTTTTCTCCACAGATTCTCTTTGTGATCTCTAACAGCATTATCCATCTTCGAATTATACAGCCACTGATTTCTTCCAGAAGATGAAGGAAGATGAAGGAAGGAAAAAAAATCCTACATATATACCTCTGAGCTGGGATGAAAATATTTTGAATTTTAGGGTTTTTTTTTTAATAAATTCATGTTTTAATTTTTCCTTAACTATAGTCATGCCATGATTCCTTAGATTGGTAGATGAAAAAAATTAGTGAAGGGTTTTCAAATATGTCTATTTGTAAAAACATATCACCCATAAAAAGAAGACATATGATATGTTAGAGTACAAAATGACATTTTTCCTTGGCAATTCTTTGCAAATTGCAAAAATCCTATAAACATATTATGGACTCATTTCTTTATTACACAATTATTTTTTATTTACATAAATATTAATTTATTGCAAATGAGGAAACTGAGGCACACAGGTTAAGTATCCTTTCCAAGGTCACACGATTATTTTATATCAAGTTGTAATGTAGTCAGAATTTGCTCACAGAGTATGTCTTCTGAGTTAGGATGTTTATTTTTATAAAGGCCACAACCATCATTGCATATGCTCGACCACTTGAGTAGCTCCCAGCCCTGCCAACACACATACACACACACCCCAGGAAGACCATGCAAGCAGGAGGGCTTATTTCTACAAAGAGTGAGGCCCTGAGTTTTATCTCTCGCCAGGCACAACAAGCCTCATCTTACCGTCAGCACAGGTCTGTTCCTGGACACCACTGGATGTGGATACCAGAAAACAGTAACTAATTAACTAACCAATGAGAAGAACAAGTAGGCTTGAATGTGTCGTTTCTAATAGGATATGTGAAGTACTGAAAATTTCTCATTTAAAATGATTGTGGCATTTCAAATCTGTCATGTTGTATTGTTGCTGGGAAAGAGAAAGATCCCGTTGACTGTCTTTGTGGAAGAGAACAGCGAGTGGGTGACGTGTGTAGCCACACTCAAACATAGGGAAGATCAGACTGAATCGCGAGACATAACTGAACGGGTGCTTACCCAAACCCATGCCATAATGTCTGTAATAAAGCGAAACGCCAGAGTATTGTCCTAAATAGTCTGCACGAATGAGGGTGCCTGACTCAACAACCAGGGCCGTCCAGGCAGACGTAAGCTCCATGCCTCTAGCATGGCAAGGGAAATGCCTCCTTCCCTGGCGAGAAACACCCGAGTGATTCAAGGCTGAAACAGACCTGGGCAAAGCAACCTTCTGAAGAGACTAACGAGCAGGCAACTCAGAACATTTTCTGATTCAATGACCAGCCCTATCTATCAGGGTGAGGGAGCGTTCCGCTGTGGACTTAAATCTGCTCTTGCTGACGTCAATGGAATTCTGGCTCCCAGTCCCTGGTGTCACCAGTTCAGCCAGCACAAATAAAATTGCTGGGTCAATTCTTCATTTTAAAAAGGAAAACATCCTAGTACTCAGGTTTTCTCTTTTATTTTTAGCCAGCCAGCCGGCCAGCCAGCTATCCATCCATCCTGCCATCCAGCCCCGAACATCCCCTGTGAATCTGCCAGTCTAGGCCCACTGCCAGTTCCTTTTCTGTCTCAAGCTCGCCCTCCCTCTGCTGCCCCAGCTCCTCACTTAGTCCCCTTCCTTTCCTTTCCCTTCCTAGCGTTCTTCAGTTCTGCATGGACTCTTGGAAATCTTTCAAGGCTCCATCTCTGATACAGCCAATAGATGGTCCCCTATCCAGACACTTAAGAACCACTTATAACAGCAAACATGCAATTGTTCTTTTTTTGGGTTTTGTTTTCTAGGCCACACTCAGCAGTGCACAGGGCTTACTCCCAGCTCTGAGCTCAGGGATCACCCCTGGTGGGCTCAGGGGACCATATGGGATGCTGGGAATCGTACCTAGGTCAACCCCAGGCAAGGCAAGCGCCTTACCTGCAGCTATACTATTGTTCCAGCTCTTGTCAATGTTTTTTAAAGGCAAGAGGAGGGGTGAAGGACCTGCATGGTCAGTAAGGCAGAGGTGACCTTTCTAACTTTTTTCCACGAGAGAGAAGTGGACACATGCCCTTTGTTACACTAGGATGTTCCATGCCCTTTGCTACACTAGGATGTTACATGCTCTTTGTTAAACTAGGATGTCGTCTCTTGAAGACAAATTTATCTAACTGCTGTCGCCTCCAGCTTTTGTAACAGGGCACAGAGAGTACTCAAATAGTCTGTGCATGGATGACTGCGCCCTGACTCTTAAATCAGAACAAATACTTTGCCTCCCTCCTTTTTGGCAATATTCATCCCCCACAAGGAAAAGGAAATAGCAAAATAGAAACTTTTCTTTTTTTTCTCTCTCTCTCTTCCCAAACCATCCTGCCTCTAGGTCAGCAGGTGAGAGTAGAGCAAGAACAGGTATCTACAGCGAGGGGGAGGGGCAGGAGAGATGTGGCAGACACCTGTATCAGCAAAGCAAACACTAGCGAAAGGGGTCAAGTAACATCTCCAGGTTTCTGTTCCCAAGAACCTGCTGAGAAACTGTTACCCATGTGACCAGAATACCTTCTTTCCAGTAGGCACGTTCGCTCAGTAGGCTTCTGAGTTAGGGGAGAGTCCTGCCTCTCTGGGAGCAACCTCAAGTGTGATAAACTACAAGTTCACTGGGGCCCAACTGAAACCCCCGCACCATAAGCCTGCATGGACTCCCACGGTGGACCATCTCATTTATGTGTGGTCCTGGCCACCATTTGATGGGACATCGAAGCCTCTTCACCAGGAGTCTGGAGTCTGGCCAAAATTCAGAACGAGGGAATTAAGAGCTGGATCGGGCAACCAGCTTTTGCTGACCTCTAGTCCACAAGCGTGGTCGGAAATGCTCTGCCGGTCTTCTCTGCATGTGGTGGCTTCTAGGAAATGTCAGCTGTGGTTTCAAGGCCACAAGGCCACGAAGAAGACACTGAACTGTAGTCGAGGGGGTGTCTGTGCCTGTTCCTGGGACTCTCATTTGTGACAAACAGGAAATATGGAGAAGGCATAGGTTGCTTTCGAGACCACATCAGGTAGATGATTCTTGAAAGCTTTACAGAGATGAAATCAACAATGAATATACTCGAAACAAATAAAAACCTTGACTCCTTTACCAAAGAAAGGCATTTTTGAGGCTTCTGAATAAATTCTTATATGACCTTCATTTTTTTTTTTTACTCTGGCATAAATCCAGTTTTAAGGGTGTAAAACACATCAACTAATTGATAAAACATTTTCTAAACCCCTACTCCAAGGCTTCAAAGACCTCACAAGAGATGTGGTTCTGACTCTAAGGAACTCTTAAGCATCAAGGTTGGGGAGACACAAGCCACTTGGAGTCTGACCAAAATTCAGAATGAGGGAATTAAGAGTTGCTGTTGGGCCGACCTTTAGCTAGCAGAAAAGCTGCGACCCCAGAACTGTGGTCACCCCTCAACCCTCCCCCTCCCCCGAACACATATACTCTACGGAGTCTCCCAAAGCCCGACTTTATGAGCTCCAAAAAGAGAAAGAAAAGAAGTCGTTCCTCTTACAACGTCAGTGGAGCTTGTTGAGAAGCCAAAATCTGGCCAAAACATATCAGTCGCTTTCCCAGAGAAAGGGGAGAGGGATCCCAAGAAAGTATTGAGGAAAAAACAATGGAATGAACCAAGTGATGAGCAGAAAATAAAAGAAAGAGATCAAAGTGATAGAATAGTGGGTGGGATGTTTACCTGGCCGGCAGTCAACTCTGATTTGATCCCAGGCACCTCATATGGTCCCTGAAGCACGACCAGGAGTGATCCCTGAGCACAGAGCCAAGAGTAAGCCCTGGGCATAGGAATGGGATGCGGGGAGGAAAGCATAAGAGAGAGCTGAGCTGGAGCGATAGTACAACAGGTAAGGTGTTTGCCTTCCACGCGGCTGACCCGGCATCGACCCCCAGCATCTCATATGGTTCCCTGAGCACGGCCAGGAGTCATTTCTGAGTGCAGAGCCAGGAGTGGCCTAAAGTGACCAAAAACAAAACAAAAGAAAACAAAAAAACCCCAAAAAACAAAAAAAAAAGAAAAAGAAAAACAAAAACAAAAAAAGAAGAAAATAAAGCAGAATAGATCGATGAGTCAAGCAATAATGATACCAGCACAGAGACTGAGCATCTACCTTATGGCCTTCTATTCTGACACAGATGAAGGAGAGGGCCGGCTGTGATTGATGGGTAGGGAAAGCCACAAGCACTTCAATTACTGGGGAGGAGGGAGAACGGCTTCTACCCAAAGGCTTTGAACACCACGGCGCACATCAAACTGCTGGCCTGCAACCAAATTCTGCCAGAGGGTGCAGCCGCCCTTCCCACCTGGGCAGTAAGAAGCCGCAGATGGAAAGAACCTGCTGGACTACTTTGCTCACCAGATGTCCCTTTGGTAAGTCATCTTTAAAGGTGGAGAGGGCACCCCTTTGAGTTATCCAATTTGGATGGAGCATGGCATCAAAAGAGCTCTGATGGCTTTCAAACATTCCATAAATTCTTTGACACTCCTTCCATCAACAGGAAAAATTTAATTCCTCTCTCCTTGGACATGGGCAATTCAAGTGGCTTGCTTTGAATGAAGAGAATGGAATGCAAATAATACTGTGTAAATTCCAAGGCTTGGTCATAAAAAAATATATAGCTCTTGGAAGCTGGCCACCATATCATGAGGAAGCACAGGCCACGTGGAGGAGCCTCATTTAAGTGTGCTGGCTGGCAGTCGCCGCTGAGACCCAGCCAAGAGCCAGTACCAACTGCAAGACACACGACAGCGCCTTCGAGATGCTCGTCCCCAACCACCATCTGATGCTCAGGCGTAACAACCCAGTCGAAGAACTGCCTCTATAAATGAACCCAGATCCCTGAGAGAAGCAGGAATAAAACTAGTGTTTCTCATCAATTAGTTTGGGATGACTTATTAGACAGAAAAGCTGGGAACAAACCCTCCGCCCTAATTTGTCCTTCACAGTGATAACTCTGCCTGTCTTCTTACTGGCATGTGACAGGAAACAGTGCTGCTTAGAAAGGGATGAGGGGATACAATGGTGGACACCAATCATCAGATCACCGCATCACGCCAAAATGGAGACAGATGCCAGAGATTCTTTGTGGTTGGTGTTTTCTTTTCTTTTCTTTTTTTTTTTTTGGCGGGG